GTCAGGATCTGAACAAATAATGCAACAGAGGAAGACGACAAACTGAGGCTCTGGAAGAGGAAAATGAACAAGCAGGAGATATAGGCAACTGATTCAACAGGAAACTAGTTGGGGTAATTAGTATAATAAGAGGGTGAGAACCTGAAATTAGTTTTCAAAACATTATCTTTCACTTATTTCCTTTATTTCCATTATGTATGGTTGTAAATCAGCTTCTTCTCCTTTTGGATTCTGTTATGCTGTTAGTGAAATCACGGGAATAATGGGTAGGAAAGGAGGGTATCCGGTTGTTTGGCCAAATTTTTGGATATTCGCAAAATTCGTTAAATGAATCAGCAATTCTCGTTGATTCTCTGTTTTCAATTCCTTCTTTTATCTTCTCAGATTCTGGAAATTCTGTCTCTTCCCTTTCTTAATTCAAACCCTAAGAAGTGTAATAGAGCTATGATCCTGACACACTACAACCAGAATCCAAATTTATGGCTATCCAGGGGAATTAATTAGTTGAAATTGTTACTTTCACACCATACCGAAGTATTATTGTTCTGTCTTTTTTCTCTTTGGGCAAACCTATGGCTCTTGTGTTTTTGCATTTGAACATAATGTCTATGGTTGGAAATTAAATCAGTTCCTTCACTGTGGAAATCAATGTAAAGAGGCTTTTCCTAGCTCTCAATCTTTGTCTGTGCATCAACTGGAATTAATCTGGCACTAATTTTACGTGGTCAACTTGATTTCTGTTCAAGACAACTTTGTTTTTGGTGCAGTAAAATGGTCATATAGTACTTTAAGTAGAGATATCCCCAGGATGTCTTGTATTGTAACAATGAAGATAGCTTTGAACTCATATTTAGAGGCCCGGAACCTGTTATGAAATCAAAATATAAACAGGAAAATAAGAGTCAGTCTCAATCTTCTGTCACGGATCTACAACTTCTATGAACACAGCTAGCTCTCTCTGTCTTAGAAACTTGCAACTCAAGGGTAGCAGAGCACAGAGAGTAGGTGATCCTTGGCCGAGTACCAAAATTGAATAGCATCACAATGGTGGCGGCTACAAACTATAGTCTTTTGCTGTAGGCCTAAATAAATTAGAACTGTTCCAACAATTCCTCGCTGTGAGGCATTCACAAGAAATACAAGTTTGCTGTACTCACTCTGTAATAGATTGAAAGATGTTTCTTTTCCTATCATCTATATTTTGCTTCAAGTACATTATATATGATAATTGATAGTGATAGTGACCTGTTTGCCAATCTTTATTTGCTGGGTTTGTGGGTGTTATGGCTGGAGTGTGATGCTGGACTCTCTAAAAATGTCATCTTCATCCGTCTCTACTAAGGGATAGAATGGGTCGTGGTGTCTTCAAGGGCTTCTCATTTAGAATTATGCAAAGGGACAAGGATGTGTTGTCACTTTGATGGTTTCTGCCCTTTTCTTTTCCTTTTTCTTCTTTTATTTTCCTCCCGTGTTGTTTTTCTTTTTCCCATAAGAAAAATCACCTACTTTTGCCAATAATTTACACAGGAAGAGACGGAAAAGCTTGAGAAGCTGGAGAAGGCCTCAGCAGTATGCAAGGAGTAAGTATGAAAAGAATGTAATCGGATACACATGTTAATTTTCTTTACATCTAATATAACTTCCCTTATTTGGTTCTCTGCATACCAGGTTGCTGCATAATGTGGAAAGTAGACCAGATCCACTTCTCTCTGAGTAAAGTGGCTTCCTAATTTCTCTGCTTTCATAATCCCCAGCAGAAAAAATTGAAACCTTCTGATAATCGATTTATTCTGAATTGACAGGACAACCGGCCCTATAAATCCATCATGGGACAGATGGTTTGAAGGACCACAAGACTCGAGGGGTTGCAGGTGCTGGATACTGTAATGATTGCTGATTTCAAAAGTTTCCCTTCTCATTTGTCTGCAGAGGATTCAACTTGTCACAGAATTTTAGATAGATACTTTTCTCGTCCGGCAAAAAATTATGAAAAATACTTCATTGTGCAGATGATAACAATTCTATAGCGGCATTTGGATCATTAACAAATGTTTTGAATGAAATGCTTCATTGTGCAGAGTATAATAATTTTTTTTTTTCCTTCAGCCAAATTGAAATGTAAAGAACAATCTACAAACGCGATCAGAATAGTTTTCATACAATTAAAATGGTTGATATAACAAATCTATTCTTCATTTATCAGAACCACAAAAATGCAGGAGATGAACCTTCTCTCTCTCATATTTTTTTTTATTTTTCAACTTGGTGCTGTGCCAGTTACCCTCTGGGCAATCCATCCTAGACCGTCGTACAGCCCTTCTCCTGTAAGAGCACAGCAGGCTTGGATGTGCCAATCATGATTCTTAATGCTGTGTAGAGAAAGGGCATCGGTGATTTCAGCGGGAGTCATTGCATCCTTAAGGTCCTGTTTATTTGCAAAAACAAGTATGACAGAATGTTGTAGATCCTCGTGACTTAGCAACCTAAAGAGTTCATCCTTCATAATGGAAATCCTGCCTCTATCAGTGCTATCAATCACCACAATAACTGCATGAGTCCCACGATAGTATGTTGCCCATGATGTCCTCAGTCGGTCTTGACCACCAAGATCCCAGACCTGATATAAGCAAATATTTCAAACATACAACGCAAAAATCTAAGACATCAACATGCTTGCTGAACTTCAGAATTTTGATATATACCGCCACAATTTATTTGACTGAATAAGGACTATGGCCATTAACGCTCACAGATTCACTTTTCTTTCATATTGTATCCGAATAAAACTTACGGACAGGGAAAAAAAAGAGCTGATACAAATCATAGAAATGTTGCAATTATCAACTCGTGCATTGTTCCAGTTTTAACACAGTAACGGAGATCATAGAAGACAAACACTGCCCAAAGGCTAATCCACGTCATCTAGAGACCTTTATATAAAAGTTCCAAAGGATCTATAAACTCTTCCTCATTTATATAAGGATACTGAGCTCTCTCATTTACAAAAGGATCCCCATTAAATTAAAAATTAAAAGAAGAATAAACTTATATTTGAACATGGGTAAAGGAGTTTTCAATCCTTCAGAAGCCCTTCTACTCTTCAATCCAAATCACCTAGAAAGTTAATAGGGCAATGAAGGCAATGATTTTCTTCCCCTTCTAGACGCTTAAATTCCTTCCCATGTGCTTCCAGAGAGAAAAAGAAACTTTAGTTCCTGAGCCCATTACCTTATTGGAAAGGAAGCCACCCCTACAAGCTTCCCGTCGTTATATTATTAAAACAACATTATTAAAGGAAAACATTTATCGTATCCCCACAAGCTATCCAGTTCCTTACACAGAGCACTTTCATTTACCTCAATCATTAAATAGCACGACTGGCCGGTTTTATGCCATTCTGCATTCCCTTGGAGGTTTATGTATAATTATAAGTAAAGTCTACCCCTTTTAAAAAAAAAAAAAATTAAA